CTGCTCCCTTCCATTGGGACATGCAGAGCCCGAGGCCAGGGAGCACCACACCAAGCAACAACAAGGCTCCCGGTGCCTCCAGCCGGGATGGGAAAGGATGGGAGCATTTGATGAGGACCAAAGGGATACTGCAGAGCCCTGCAAGTCCCACTGCACACAGCGGCTTTGTGGCCTCATGGGACAAATCCCTCCTGCCCGGTGGGTGCTGACACCCCTGAGCCCCACAGGGGATGTAGGGCAGAGGGTGAGGAAGCATCATCCAGCCCCAGCAGTACCCTCCTGGTATCACCCTCCTGCAGGTAGGGATGGGCACGAGCAGGGTCCGGCCACTCCTGGGTTTGGGCAGACCCGTGAGCAGTTTCCTGCAGGGATCAGCAGCAGGGATGCTGCTGGGGGGGGGGACACACACGGGACACAGGGAGGGTGTCCCGGGAGGCTGCAGGTCTCAGACCAAGGCAACTCACACATCTGCAGGCTCGCAGGGCTGGGAAAGAGCCCAGGAGAGGCTCAGAAGCCCCAAGCCCGGCTCATCCCTCCCTCAGCCTGCTCCTGGGTCACCTCCGCTCTTCCCAAGACTGGAAACTTGTCTTAAATTAAAGCTGGGATCGATGTGATCGCCTGACTGCAGGAGCTGGGGCTTTGGCAGGGGCGGTTGTACGCTCCAGAGACCTACCCACCTCCAAGCATCGTGCTGGCCAGCTGCAGAGCGCGGCACCAGGGAGGGCAGAGCCCGGGAGGTGACCTCCATCCTTCCTGCTGGAGACAGGATGGTGACTCCCTGCTTATAGCGGGACTCCAGGAGGGAGCAGGGGGGCGGAAGCAGGGGCTCTGCCTGCCCTGCTGAAGGAGGGATGCAGTGCCACCATCCCCATGGGGACCCACACACCTCCAGCAGGGCAGGGAGTCAGGGCTCCCTCCGGGGCTGCAGCAAGCACCTACAAGGCCAGGAGGGTGGTGAGCGGCAGCTCCTTCTCCCCCAGCAGCGTGTCCCGCTTGAGGCTGCTGCCTTTGTTGACCACCTTGAGCTTCAGGGACATCTTCCTGGCGTGGCCGAGGCCCAGCCCGTCGAAGAAGAAGTCCTCGTTGAAGACGGGGTTGCGGCTGTTCTTGACGATGGTGCTGCGCTGCTTCTGCAGCTTCCCGGGGTTGAGGCACAGCGAGACGCAGCAGTTGATGCTCCGCACGTCGACCAGGGCATCGTAGAGGTCCTCGGCGGAGACGAGCCGCACACGCAGGCGGGCGTTGGAGGGGTCGTACTCAGCTGCCAAGCGCAGGCTCCCACCGCGGCTCAGCCTCAGGCTCTGCTCCCGATCCCGGCCCCGCGGAGCATCCAGCGGCAGCAGCGCGGTCGGAGGCTGCGTCCCGGCCGGGGCGCTGCGGGAGCGGCGCTGGGCGCTGGGGCTGGTGTCGGCCGAGCTGTCGTCGGTGGACAAGGAGCTGTTGCGGGCCACCGAGTGCTTCAGCTTGATCATCTTGGACTGGCTCTCCTGGCTGAAGATCTTCAGCAGGGACACGGAGCGGGACAGCAGCGGGGAGCCGAAGGGCGAGGACTCGGCCGAGGAGCCGGTGTCGCTCTCGCCGCCGCTGAAGTAGCGCCCGGGGTGCATGAGGGCTGCGCCCAGGTCTGCGGGGGTCCGGGGACCGCTCTCCCCGTTGAGCTTGGCTCTGCGCTGGGCGCTGGGCGAGGTGGCCGGCGAGGGGCAGAGGCTGCTGTGCTCGCTGTGGAACAGGGACTCCTTGCGCCGCGTGTGGGGGCTCTCCACCAGCGTGGCGAAGCCGTAGGAGGTCTGAGCCTTGGGTACATAAGGCAGCGACATGGCCGTCTGCGCTTGCGGGTCCACGTTGGTGCCGAAGCCCCCCTCGGCCGTCCAGTCCTCGGCGCTCTCGATCTGGATGATGTGGCGAGCACGGGGACGGCTGGAGGCTCGGGGGCTGCGCGGGGGCTTCCGCCCGGCCAGGTCCTGCTCCGAGGCCGAGGGACCCAGGGTGGGCGTCGCGGGGGGCTCGGAGCCCTCGGCCTCGGCGGGCGCCGCGCTCAGCTTGGGCGGGATGAAGAAGTCGGGGATCTTGTCGGGGGTGAGGACGTTGCTGTAGCGGGAGCCGCGGGGGGAATCCTCCGGCCCCGCGCTACGGGACCCGTTCTCGGCCACGCCGCGCAGCCGCTCCAGGAGCCACATGTTGCTGCCGGCTGCGGGGCTGGAAGAGACCGAAGGGGCAACGGCGTCACCGGGGACCGGCGGCCCGAAGAGCGACCAGCGGGCACCGGGGGACAAGATGGGGGGGGGAACCGGCGCCGCCGACGGGAAGGGGATGGGAAGAGACCGGGAAGGAGCCGGTGGCGCCGATGGGCACCGGGACCCGCCGGCCCGAGGCACGCGATGGGACGGAGCGGCCGCGGCTCACGGGGGAGCCGCTGCGGGACAGGGCGCGGGGAGAGGAGCGGAGCGAACCGAGGGAGCGAGCGAGCGAAGCCGCCGCGAGCGGGAAGTTGCCGGAGCCGCCGCACCTGGAGCGGAGCCGCCGCCGCCGCCGCAGCCCGGGCGGGGCGGACGCGAACGCGCTTTTATACGGCGGCAGCGGCGGCTCCGCTCCTTCCCCGCGCCGCCGCCGTAATCCTCCGAGCGCGGCGCCGCCGCAATTCCCCGCACCGAGCCCCGCCGGACCGGGACCCCGACCCCGCCGGGGCCGCTGATGCTCGGGGGTGCGGGGACATCCGGCTCCCCCCCCCCCTCTTCCCCCGCCCACGGGAGCATTGGGGTTGGGATGGGACCGGCCCCGAGCCGGGGTGCGGGAGGGAGCGGGACGGCAGCGGCTCCGTGTCCCCCCAGAGCGGAGCGGGGTTAGAGCGATGGAGCCGTGTCCATGTCCCCACCCCGCGCCGGATGCATCCCGCTGTCCCCGCCGGGCTTTGAGTACATGGAAGCGCTCGGAGCTGGAGGACTCGCCGAGAGCATCAAGTGGTTTAATGTGGTGGCTGGAGGAGCCGGGGGTCACCCGTGCCACTAGGACCCGATGGGGCAGCGCTGGGGCAGGACACGGGGACACCATGTCAGGAGGGTCACAGGGGCATCACCGCAGGCCCTGGTGCTGAGGGTGAAAGGCGCCAGCCCAGGCACTGCATGATTTATGGCCTTGGGGACAGGGATGCACCGAGCGGGATGGTGGCACAGGCAGGGGCCTGCAGCTGCGCCTTCCTGGCCCCTGCCCTATGGATGCTGTCAGGCTTGCAGGGACGGCACCGTCACCCCAAGGCTGGGGATGATGGCAGGGAAGGAGAGCCTGGAATGCCGAGCATCTTCTGCGGGGGCTGCTGCAGCTACTGGGCAGTGACTGCAAGAGGTGGGAGGTTTCAGCTGTCTGCATCCTGACTCTGAGCTGACAAAAGGAGGCCGGTGCTGCGGCTGGGAGCCAGAGGATCTGAATGTCCTTTCCAACCCTAACGATTCTATGACTCGGAACCAGTCAGGACCTGGAGGGGTCTGGGCAGGGATGTGTTGAGTCAGTGATGGGGAAAGGGAATGGCAGCATCCCGGCTGGACGCTGCGATCTGCACTGTGGGGAGCTGAGTCCCATGGGGGAGGAAGAGGCAGACGGACCCTGGGAGAGGAGGCCGAGGCCGTCGGGAAGGGGAACAAAAGGCCGGTGTTTGCCTTTCCTCCGCCCTGCACAACGGTGAGCAAACACGGTGCAGAAATGCTTGAGTTCCCCCGACATAACAAAGAGCTGGAGCTGGGCCAGTGCTGCCGAGGGCACCGGGGTGCTCTCAGCACTGAGCAGGCCTGGGCCCGGCTCCTGGCAGCGCTTCCAGGTCGGAGGCAGGAGAGGTCCCAACTGCCCCAGTTCGCAGTGGAGGGAAGGCAGGAGAGACCCCACACTCGCAGCGGGTGCTCACACGGGTGCTTGCATCCATGGGGATGGGCAGTGCTGGGAGCATCCCTTCCCGACGGGAGCTGCTGGGCTGAAACAGAAGCAGGGCCAGCAGGTTTCCAAGGTCTCCAAAACGGGCTCCGGGCCCTTGCTTGCACCCAGCAACATGGAGCCAGGAGGGGCTCCTCTCCTTGCTCATCTTCCCCTTCACCCAGGGCTCTCCACGGATTCGGGATTGGAGGATGCCAGGAAGGAACAGGTCTCAGCAGCATCCCTAGGGCTGAGGGACTGGGCCAGAGCCAGCAGCAGCCAGCAAAGACGTGGGCTTGTTCTGAGGCAGCGAAAGAAGAAAAGTCCAGGCTCTCACTGCCTTTTCCTGCCTCTGCTATTGAGGGAACGGCGCAATTATCCTTGCAGACGCATTACTACATGACAAAAAATAGCAGCTGAGATGGCAGTGCCTCATCCCTGGAGGTATTCAACTATCAATGGAAAATTACACATTCATTACTGGCCTTTATTGAGGGGCTTATTTTCCTCATTGACTCAGCCAGCACCGGTCCAGCATCCTGGAAAACACCATCCCAACGACGGGAAAGAGGGAACCCACTGGTCTGAGGTGGGTGGGAATGGACACACTGGGAGCCTCCTGCCCACCAGCACCCATGGGTGCCCAACCATGGAGATAGCTTGGGACACATCCGAGCAGTGCTGGGGCAGCCTTCTCCTGCCTCCACTGGTGCCAAGCAAGCACCGTCCCTATGTGCTGGCTCTCCCTGCACTGGTCACCATGGTCCTGACTGGTGACAACGCATCTCGGGCTGCTCAATGCCAGCCTGGTCATGGCAGGAGCCATGGAGGCTGGAGGCAGCAGGAGCAGGGAGATGTTGGGTACGGGCAGGAGATGCTGTGCAGGACCAGCACCCCTGGGAGCTGGGGAGGGGGGGGTGATCCATGTGCTGAAGGGTGACAGTGATGCAGAGAGGCAAAGACAAGTGTGAGCGGCCAGGATGAGCAGGCTGCCAGCACCGATGTGGGATTAACCAGGAGCCGGTGGGGATGGAGACACCGTCCCAGCCCCTTTGAGGCCCTGGAGGCAGGAGCCCCATCCCAGCAGGAAGAACCCAGGCACCTTCCTCATTTCCAGGTTTAATTAGAAACGTATTCCAAAGCGCGAGCCCCAGACAACGCTGGGCAAGGGCTGCGAATGCCATAAAAACCTGCCCAAGCGCCAGGAGAAGCAGGGATGTCCCAGGGGCCTTGGGACACGTCTCCAGCCTTGGAGAGCCAGAGCCAAAGCCCTGCACCTTCCCCACAGCAGCTTCATCCCAGCCCCAGCCTGAGGAGGGATGCGGGAGCTCGGAGCCACCAGGAACCCTCATGGCAGCTGCTCCTGGGGAGAATCCAGCTGGAAATGTGGGACCAAGAGGGATACCCAGCCCCATGAGCAGGGACAGGGCAGGGGCTGCAGCCTGCACTGATGGGGGATAGGGGCACCCCCCAATGTCCTGGCGGAGAGGGGGAACCAAGGCAGGGAGCTGGGTCCTGAGCAGCAGCGCTGGGCGAGAGGCACGGCTTGGTGGGCAAGGGTGCTCCTCACATACCTGTGCACGCACATGGATACACACACGTGGGTACACACATGTGGATACACACACACATGGATACACACACACACGGATACACACACACACGGATACACACACATGGGTACACACACATGGATACACACACATGGGTACACGCACATGGGTACACACACACACGGAGACACACACATGGATACACACACACACACGGATACACACACATGGGTACACACACACATGGATACACACACATGGGTACACACACACACACATGGATACACACACATGGGTACACACACACATGGATACACACACATGGGTACACACACACACACGTGGATACACACACGTGGGTACACACACGTGGATACACACACGTGGATACACACACGTGGGTACACACACACATGGATACACACACGTGGGTACACACACGTGGGTACACACACGTGGATACACACACACATGGATACACACACACGGATACACACACACACATGGATACACACACATGGGTACACACACACACATGGATACACACACATGGGTACACACACACGGATACACACACACACATGGGTACACACACATGGATACACACACACATGGGTACACACACATGGGTACACACACATGGGTACACACACACGGATACACACACACACATATGCATACACACACATGGATACACACACACGGATACACACACATGGATACACACACATATGGATACACACACATGCATACACACACACATGGATACACACACACGGATACACACACACGGATACACACACACATGGATACACACACATGCATACACACACACACGGATACACACACACATGGATACACACACATGCATACACACACACACGGATACACACACACATGGGTACACACACATGGATACACACACACGGATACACACACACATGGATACACACGCGGATACACACACATGGATACACACACACATGGATACACACACGGATACACACACATGGATACACACACATGGATACACACACACGGATACACACACATGGATACACACACATGGATACACACACATGGATACACACACACATGGATACACACACATGGATACACACACATGGATACACACACATGGATACACACACACATGGATACACACACACACACGGATACACACACATGCATACACACATGGATACACACACATGGATACACACACATGGATACACACACACGGATACACACACACATGGATACACACACACATGGATACACACGGATACACACACACACATGGATACACACACATGGATACACACACATGGATACACACACATGGATACACACACACACGGATACACACACACATGGATACACACGGATACACACACACATGGGTACACACACATGGATACACACACACAGACACACACATGGATACACACACACACGGATACACACACACACATGGATACACACACACGGATACACACACATGGATACACACACATGGATACACACACATGGATACACACACACGGATACACACACACATGGATACACACACACACGGATACACACACACACGGATACACACACACAGACACACACATGGGTACACACACACGGATACACACACACGGATACACACACACACATGGATACACACACATGGATACACACACATGCATACACACACATGGATACACACGCGGATACACACACATGGATACACACACGTGGGTACACACGTGGATACACACACGTGGGTACACACATGTGGATACACACACGTGGATACACACACACACATGGATACACACACGTGGGTACACACATGTGGATACACACACATGGATACACACACATGGATACACACACATGGATACACACACACACGGATACACACACACATGGATACACACGGATACACACACACATGGATACACACACACAGACACACACATGGGTACACACACATGGATACACACACACAGACACACACATGGGTACACACACATGGATACACACACACGGATACACACACATGGATACACACACACACGGATACACACACACATGGATACACACACACAGACACACACGGATACACACACACATGGATACACACACACGGATACACACACATGGATACACACACATGGATACACACACACACATGGATACACACACACGGATACACACACATGGATACACACACATGGATACACACACATGGATACACACACATATGGATACACACACACACGGATACACACACACACGGATACACACACACAGACACACACACACACATGGATACACACACACATATTAATACACACACACACACACACACACACGCACACACTAATCCTGCTCACCCCATCCCACCCTGGGATGAGGCCCCTGGCACCATCCCCAGCCCCGTTTGCCCCATGACACTCCAGAGACCAATTCCTTGTGTCGGGATGGAGCCGGCACCGGGGCTGGCGGTGCCGCAGCGGCTCCCAGCTGGGAACAATGCCCCATGCGGACCACGGAGAGGGGAACGGGGACCCTGACCCCAGGGTGCGGGCCCGGGCACAACCAGAGGAGGGGAGCAGAGGGGTGGGCCCTGCCTTTACCCCAGGGCTGGGGTGAGTCCGGTGCCAGGGCCGCGGGTCGGGAGCTCACGTACCCCCGGGCTCACTGCTTCCTCTGCACGACCTGGCGGAGGTGCAGCTCGCTCTCGGCGGCCACGATGGGCTGCTCGTTCTGCCGGTGGTGGCTGATGAGGTGGCTGATGCTCTCAAACAGCACGTCCTTGGTCCTCACCTGCGGGTTTGGGGGGCCGCGGTGCTCCTGAACCCCAGCAAGCAGGGGCCCCATGCAACCTGCCCGCCGCTTGCAGCCTGTGGCCTCCAGCATCCTTCCAACCCTGCCTTTATCCCCATCACCCATCACCCATCCTGCACCCTGCAGCCTCCAGCATCCTTCCCACCCTGCCTTTATCCCCATCACCCATCCTGCACCCTGTGGCCTCCAGCATCCTTCCACCCCTGCCTTTATCCCCATCACCCATCCTGCACCCTGCAGCCTCCAGCATCCTTCCACCCCTGCCTTTATCCCCATCACCCATCATCCACCCTGCAGCCTCCAGCATCCTTCCACCCCTGCCTTTAACCCCATCACCCATCCTGCACCCTGTGGCCTCCAGCATCCTTCCCACCCTGCCTTTATCCCCATCACCCACCCTGCACCCTGCGGCCTCCAGCATCCTTCCCACCCTGCCTTTATCCCCATCACTCATCCTGCACCCTGCAGCCTCCAGCATCCTTCCCACCCTGCCTTTATCCCCATCACCCATCCTGCACCCTGTGGCCTCCAGCATCCTTCCCACCCTGCCTTTATCCCCATCACCCACCCTGCACCCTGCGGCCTCCAGCATCCTTCCCACCCTGCCTTTATCCCCATCACCCATCCTGCACCTTGCAGCCTCCAGCATCCTTCCACCCCTGCCTTTATCCCCATCACCCATCCTGCCCCCTGCCCTTACCACTCCCTCGGGATCCACCAGCAGCAGATGCTTGGGCTGCCCGCTGTGCATGCCAGTCAGCACATACTGCCCCGGGTTGGTGAGGCTGTCCCGCACCAGGAAGTCCCCGTCCATCTGCAGGAGCCTCTCCGCATCCCTCCGGCTCATCTTCCCGTGGTACCACGGCTCCCGCCTGAGCTGCTCCTCAGTGGGGGCAATGGGAGCCTTCCGCGTCGGGGGGCTCGGCCACTGGTCCTCGATGGGGGGGCTGCTGCTGCCCCCCACAATGCACTCGTGGAGCTTCAGGGCATCCTCAAATGGCCCTGTAGGACCGAGGTGAGGGGATGTCACCCCTCAGGGCATGAAGCTGGGGCCATGCAATGGGCACCCCCCCCCGGCGTGGTGGCTTACTCATATCAAAGAGGTCCTTCTTGGGGCTCTCCTCCGGCACCCCCCGAGCCGCCGCTGCCTCTGGCTCCCAGGCATCCAGGCTCTGTGTGTTCACGTACATGTGCTCCTCGTAGTCCCGTGGTCCCAAGGGGTGGCCATCAGCCTGCAGGTACCCATCCCCGGGCTGGCCTGTGAGGAGGGGGCATCACCACCAGCCCAGGCAGGGCAGAGCCATAGGGACCCCCCCACTGACCGGGTGTCCGTCATCCCCCCCACAGTGGTACCCACCCTGGCTCTCCAGCTCCCAGGGTGGCCCTGGCTGGCTGCTCTGGTCTCTCCTGGCTGCAAACCCGGCCTGGGGAGAGGAGGCAGTGAGGATGCTATGGGGGGGACCTGTGCTGGGGACCCCCATAGCAGCGACCCCCGGGGGTGGGGGGCTGGCTCACCTGGCTGGAGAGGATGGAGCCGGAGGGTTGAGTGCGGATGTGGCCCAAGCTGGGGCCGTGCCGGAGCCGGGAGTCGATCAGCCCGCCCGGGGGCGGCTCCTTGCCGGGGATGCTGTTGTAATAATCGTGTTCGGCCGCATCTTCATCCTCCCCCCAGACCGAATCCTCGGCACCCAGCGCCCTGCAGCAGGGATGGGTGAGCCGGGGACACCCTGAGGGGCTCAGCAGCAGGGCTACACCCCCCCCGCCCCCCCAACTCCTTACCTGTCCGGGGGCACCACCACCTTGGGGGGGCTGTGCAGGTACTGCTTGAAGCGCAGCTCGAAGGCCTGCCCCACCGTGCTGATGACGCTCTGCGCCAGCCCCTCGCAGCACTCCAGGATGTGGCAGGCTGTGGACAGATGGCTCAGATGTGTCCCCCTGCTCCCATCACCCCTCTGGGAGATGCCCCTTGTGCCCCCACACATGGAATCCCCCCCCATCCTCCAGCCTTCATCCCCTCCTCATCCATAGAGTCCCCAGACCAGCGTCACCTCTCTGATTGATGGGGTCCTTGGCGACGTAGGCGACATAGTCCGTGGTGTCCTGAGGGCACAAGGGGAGCTCAGGGGAGCTGGAGCAGGGCTGGGGGCTCCGGTGCAAGGGGAAGGGCCCCAGCCCCATGTCCTGCCCTGAGTTTGGCTCAGCCACAAGACCGGGACCCCCTTTTGGGACCACAATACAGGGTCTCACCGTGTCCCCACCGGAGGCGAAGGAGATGGATTGCATGTGGTGGTTGGCGATGATCTATGGGGAGAACATGGCCCGTGGCTGGGGTTAGAATGGGGGCCACCAGCTCTCCGGTCTGCAGCAGGAGGCAGAGGGCTGGGAGGTGGCAGTGCCACAGCCCTGGGGCTGGCTCTGACCTGGCGTGTGGTGGGGATCATGAGGTTCAGCCCATCAACAGAGATGTTGACAGCGATGCTCATGCCAGCAAAGCGCAGGTTGCTCTTGCCCAGGATGGAGACAAGGGCTTTGTTGGGAGCCTGACAGGGGAAGAGGACCATGGGGGGGGGGGGGGTGATGCAGCCCATTGGGTCCAGGCTTCCTGGGCTGCAGGAGGCAAAGGGGGTGCCCCAAGAGACCCCAGGCTCTGCCCCATGAACCAGGCAGGCACCTCCAGCACCCTGCCCCAGGAAGGAGCACAGGGAAGGACAGACCGGGTGGAAACTCACCTTCTTCTTCCAGATGCCCTTCACGCCGGGCACTGCTTCATACAATCTATTGATGGCTTCCCTGTAAGCCATAGCCCCGGGCCCAGTTATTAATCCAGAACACACCCCCCCCAGCCCCTTCCTGGCTGCCCCATGGCATCAGCCCCGCAGCCCCGGGCACCGCAACCTCCCCGCAGCGCTGCCCCACGTCACGGCCGCGGTACGTAATCCCGGCCAGGGCCACCTCCCTTCTCCTCTTTCCACCCATTGATCCGCAGCAGTGCCCTTCGTCATCGCCCTGTGTGCAGGGTGGATCCATGGGGCAGGGCTCCCCCTCCGGACCCTCGGCCCTGTGTGTCTCCCTTGCCTTGCCATAGGGCCCCCTGGGTGGGGGGGGGAGTGGTGGTGGTTTTGGGGTGCAGGATGAACTCGGGGCCGTACCTGGTGACCTGCGTGCGGGTGTTGAAGTCGAGGGACCTCATGGAGCGCAGCACCTCGATGCACCCCATGTACTACGGGGTGGGGGGACACGGTCAGAGCGTCCTCCTCCAGCCACCGCCGCCAGCACAGGGCAGGTGAGGAAGAGGAAGGGAGAGGAAGAGCTGAGTGTCAGCGGGAAGGGGCCCTCTCCAAGCCAGCTCCAGGGATCACCCAGCACCCTTTTGTCCGCCACCCCAAACGATCCCATTGCACGCCCAGAATCCACACTGAGACCCGACAAACTCATCTCGGCGCTACGGCTCATGATGCCCTTGGAGGGGTTGAATCCTGCTGGGTCCAAGGCTACCTCGTGGCTCTGAACCCCCCTGGTCCCATCCCACCCGCACCCGGTGCGGGGAGGCCGTCCCCGCCAGCATGATCCAGACATCACGGAGCAGGCAGCGGGGACATAAACCGGGGAGGGATGCCTGGGGACCCCTCCGCATCCCCTTGGCCACGGTCACGGCACCGGGCTCGGGCTCCGGTGGGACTTACCCGGACGATGTAGGAGACGCCGGGCCCCAGCACCCGCTCGTCGGGGTGCAGCCAGCCCTGCGCCGGTTTGCGGATGAAGCTGCCCTTGCGGCTCCACTCCTCCGCGCCCGGCCGGGTCCCCGCCGCCGCCGCCGCCGCCGCCCGCCCCGCCGCCCCCCGTGCCCGCCCGCCCGCCGGTAGCGCGCACGGCGCGGCGGGGCACAGCGGCTCGCAGGCGGCCAACACGGCGGCCAGCGCCGAGGGGGGGCCCGCCCGGGCCGGCGCTGACAGGTCCCGGCCGCCACCGGTACCGGCGGAGGGGCTGCGACCGAGAAAGCCGCCGGGACCGGGGAACTTCCACTGCGGCATCCGCGGCAGCAGCGCGCAGAAGGTGGTACCGGGCTCGGGCTCCTCGCCCGCCGCGGGGCTCGGCCCGGGGACCGGCGACGGCATAGGGGCGGTCAGCGGCTCGTCGCGGAAGCGGTCATACTTGGGCTCCGGGAGCATGCCCGGGGCCGCTCCGCTCCGCCGCTGCCGTTCCGCCGCCGCCGCCGCGCCGGCTCCCGCCCCCCGCCCGCTCCCCCGGGGCCGCGCCGCGCTGATGTCATGGTGCGAGGGCTCCGCCGCCGCCCCGGCCCCCCCCGGCCGCCCCAGCATCCTCCATCCTGCGCCCTCCCGGCCCCCGCCGCCCCACCCCGGCTCCCTCCGGCGGCCCCGGCCCCGCTGCTCCCCCCAGGACACCCAGAGGGGGCTGCGGAGGCCCGGGAAGGGCAGGCGCGGTCCCGGTGCTCAGGGACAGCGGGGGGACGAGGCCGGCCGGAGCCTTCCCCGCCCCTCAGCTGGCACCGGCATCACCGGAGCCTCCCAAGGGGCCGCCTTTGTCTCGTCGTCGCCTCGGTGCCTCCCGGGGCAGCGGCCGGTGGGTGCCCCGAGTGCGATCGGTAACTCGGGGCAAGGAGCCGCTTCTCCTCTCCCCCGGTTCGGTTCTCAACCTGCCGCAGAGCACCGGAACGGGCCCTGGCTCCACCGACCCCACGGGGGGGGGGGCGTCTCTGATGGGGCTCCCGGTGCGGGCGGCTCCGGGTGCCCGTTCCCGGGGGGCGACTCTAGGGAAGGCTCCGGGTACTTCGCCCGCTGCCCGGGGACCGTTCGCAGGCGGTCGCGGGACCCGGTTCACGCCAGCTCCGCTCTCCGATCCCGGACTCGGGGTCACTCCGCAGCTTTGGGGACACACACAATAACGGGAGGGGAACGCGGGCGGGGCCGCTCCACCACCGCAGCGTCCTGAGGGACCGAGGCCCGGCTGTGCCCCGCCACCTCTCGGTGGCCCGGGAAAGGGACCGGTTGCAGCTGCCTCCAGCCGGGACACCGGGAGCACGGAGCGAGTTAAACCGAGACGAGCCGGTAGCGAAGGGGCCCTGGGTCTGCACACCGATAAGGAACCCCCGTCCCCTCCGCCCCGGGCCCCTGCGGCACCCGCGGGAGGCGCCGCTACCGGTGCCACCGGCCCCCGGAGGGGAGGTACCGGGAGGACCGGCGTATCCCACCATGCCCCGCGCCCCGCCGAGGCGGCTGTAAGCCCCGCCCACCGCATCCCTCCTCCTCCTGCCAGCCAATCAACGACGCGTTCGGCCGACGGGGAAGGGGCGGGGCAGCCAATGGGATGTGAAGGTGCGTCCCGCCGGAAGAGCCCGTCAGCGCCGTCGCCTGGGTGACGGGAGCGGGGCCTGTGGGCGGGGAGGTCCTAGCGCCGCCGCCGCCGCCGCCCTCCTCCTCCTCCTTCCTCCTCCTCCTCCTCTCCCCGGGCCCGGCGCTCCCCCGCCCGGTGCGGGTCTGTGCCCGGGCCCGGTGCTCGTCGCGGCGCTGCCCGCCGCAGGGACGATGGGGCAGCCGCGGAGGCCGGCGAACGGCAGCGGCCCGGCGGCGCCATGACCGGCGAGAAGAAGAAGAAGAAGCGGCTCAACCGCAGCGTGCTGCTGGCCAAGAAGATCGTCATCCGCGACGGGGCCGGCGTGAGCGCGGCGGGGGAGCGGAGCCGGGGCGCGGGGTGGGGGGGGGTGCGGCCGGTGCTGCGTGGGCCCCCCTCGGGCCTGCTCCGGGAGCCGCGGAGGTGTGCGCGGCTCGGGCCTCGCTCGGGCCCGGGGTTGTTCTGCTCAGGGCAGGCCTCTGGCTCGCTGCCGTTTCACCGGCCGCGGGTGCTCGCTGGTCCCGTCGCCGTCTCTGGCGTGTACCGTGTGCTTTGGAGGTGCCAGGCCGCGGGGGTGAGGGCCCCTGGGGAGCAGTCACCTCCATCGAGGGGAGGCCGGTGCTGCGGGAGAGGAGCAGCGGTTACCGTGAGGGTGCTGAGGCGCTGGCACAGGGTGCCCAGAGAAGCTGTGGCTGCCCCATCCCTGGCAGTGTTCAAGGCCAGGTTGGACACAGGGGCTTGGAGCAAGCTGCTCTATGGAAGGGGTCCCTGCCCGTGGCAGGGGTTGGAGCTGGAGGAGCTTTAAGGTCCCAAACCATTGCATGAGCAGTGCTGTAGGGACGAGCATCTTGTGCCTGTACAGAGACAGCTTTGGAGTGGGTGCACCTGAGCTTAAGGTGTCTACAAGCATTTCCCCCTTGTTGTGCTCTTGAGAAGGAGCCTTTGGCCTGCCCTGCTGTCTCTTTGGGTCTTTTTACTAGTATTTTATGGAGCAGCTGAGAGGAGATGTGCTGAATGGGTGAAGGACTAACCCAGTGAGGTGGTTGATAAGTGGAAGGAGTGATACTAAGCTGCGAGTGCGTCAGAGCTGGACTAAACTCCATCAAGTTCATTTTAGTGCAGTCATGGGAGAAATGTTTAACTGTGGATGAAGAGGGACAAGGAAAGGAGGAGGAGAGGGATGCTCTCTGGAGGAAGGTGGGTAGTGGTAGCTGTACTCATTACAGCCTCCTGCCACCTTCTCCCTCTGCTGCAAAACATTCTCTCCTTTATATGCAATAAAACTGCATCCCCTCCTCTTGCCTTGATGCTGTTGATGTGGGGTTGAAGCAGCTTTAATAGTCTTTTATTAACATTTGAGCACAAGAACGTCTCTTGCTGCCTTCCCTCATGTTTCGGGGCCTCACGGCTGTGGTGGTCATCTGAAATGCAGTGTGAGCTGCAAAACAAACCTGTTCTGGTTGGGAGGATGGAGCTGGGGAAGAGATTGCTCTTCACACAACTCCTGTGGCTGGGAATGCATCACGGTGAACGCTGTGCAGCAGGACACAGACCCAGACACCTCTCTGGTGCCTGAAATAACTTGTATGTCAAGAGCACGGGGTAGAAATGCCAGGCAGCTGTGAGGAGGTTGATACCCAACTCTTAGCCTGAGAGAAAAACACTGGCCAGGTTGGACACAGGGGCTTGGAGCAAGCTGCTCTAGTGGAAGGGGTCCCTGCTTGTGGCAGGGGTTGGAACTGGGTGAGCTTTAAGCTGCCTTCCAACCCAAACCATTCCATGATTTTAATGATGCTTCAGTGTCCAGATCTATCCTGGATTGGGATACGCCTGCTTGCGTTACTCATGGAGCTCTGTTTTGCAGCGACAGGGCATCGGAGAGCCCAGCGTGTACCACGCCGTGGTGGTGATTTTCCTGGAGTTCTTTGCCTGGGGGCTGCTGACCACTCCAATGCTAACGGTGAGTGAGTCTCCTTGGGGATAATCCTGCTTCCTGGGGACAAGAAACCACCCTGGGTAGAGATCTCAACACGGAGCCTTTGGAGCCTGGGGGGTAGAAACCAAGATGTACTGGTTTGTACCTGGAAAAGCTGGAGCAATAGTGATGGTTTTATGGAGTTGGGCAATGCTTTTCAGGATTATTATAGCCATACTTGGAGCAAAGCAGGAGTTAGAGGTTTGAAGGCTTATTTAGGGATAAAAGAGGTTTTTGTTGAACTGCCACTGTCGTTCTCTGGGGCATCAAAGCACAGAGACAATTTCCTGGCCGTTCTTTATGATGCCAAGTCATGCTCCTGCTGGAGAGCCAGTGACTCGTCTGGGATCGACTGAGGGGTGATTAATACAGGCAGCAATAAAGTGAAGTGTAGAGAGAGAGCTTTAATAAAGCAACTGAAAATAGCTTGGATGTTTAAGCCTTTAGTTAAGGAGCTGGGAACTCCTGGTGGGGCATCTCTCAGCTTCTTCACTTCAGTTTCTGATGGTCAGTTGCCAGCACACCTTGAAGTGTAGTTGCCAGGTGTATTTTTTACCTGATCTCTGATTTCTAGGTAAATATGCAAAGGGAGTCTTTGGTTATCACGGAATGCTTTGGGGTGGAAGGGCCGTTAAAGCTCTTCCAGTTCCAGCCCCTGCCATTGGGACCCCTTCCACTGGAGCAGCTTGCTCCAAGCCCCTGTGTCCAGCCTGGCCTTGAGCACTGCCAGGGATGGGGCAGCCACAGCTTCTCTGGGCACCCTATACCAGTGTCCCACCACCCTCACAGGGAAGAGCTATTCCAGGCTTCTCCCTGCTTTGCACAAGCTGCTAGCTCTGTGGCTTTGGTTTTGTTTTCTCTAGGTGTTACACCAGACTTTCCCTCAGCATACATTCTTGATGAACGGCCTGATACATGGAGTCAAGGTAAGGAATATGCCTTCCAGGCTTCCTTCTGAACCTGTGATCAGGGCAAGAAGTAGCAAGCTGTGATAGTCCATGTGGCCTTGCTGATGTCAGCCAGTGTTTGACAGATGATAGAAGCACAGAACACCTGGTTGGAAGGGACCTCACGGATCATCTGGCCCAACCTTTCTAGGCAAAGCATGACCTAGACTAAATGCATGCTCGTAGAATCATTATTTAGGTTGGAAAGGACCTTAAGATCATCTAATTCCAGCCCCCTGCCAGTTTGGGGTGCTAATGGCAAATCAGAAGCAAAATGAAGGGTCAATGAAGTGTGGTCCTTGGGTATTTGGTGCAGTTGATTTTACTGAGCAGCATTAACAACCTGCTGCTTGTCAGCCTGGGTTTGGGGCTATGAGAGCTGTGTGTTTCAGCTGCAGATACTGCAGTCAGCATGAGATCAGCCCTGGATCCATGTTCTGGAGTGTAACAACATGAAAAACCAATGACACCTGGACTTAGCAGAAGTAGGAGTTGGAACTTAGCTGCGTCAGTGGGCTCTCCCTGACAGAAGGTGGGGAGTGTGCCATGGCATGGGTTTGGACTAGACCAGCATTCCCAGAGCAGAATTGGAGGCAACTCTAATGACCAAGCAGTTGGGAATGTGGCAAACCAGCCTCTTAGACCCTGGCTCTGGCAAGAGGATCTCGGGGAGGTTTGCTTCCGTGAGGCCTCAGCACTTCCACACACACACGAAGGCTCTTCCCTGCCTGTCTCCAGTTGGAAAGGCATGGAACAGTTCTCTTTGTGCTTAATGGCCTTGGCACCTCGTCAGGTCTGTCATGTCTCCATCTAAAAGAGAAAGCTTTCCCTGGAACTGCAGCAGATGTTCATGGCATGGAGCTGTGCCAACATCCTTTTAGGTACTGGTGAGCAGCTCCTCGTGCCTGGGGGTGACCAGAGCAGCAGCACAGAATGGGAGGGTTTAGCAGCACTGAGCTGCTTGAGGGTAGGTTTTGATCCCTAAAAGGATGTGAGCAGTTTAACAAAGGGTTCTGTGATCGCCTGCTTGTAGGGAATAGGGCTGGATTGTCTCCTCACCCTGTTAGCTTAGCGGTGTCAGAAGCTCTTGCTGTGGACACTCAGAATTTGACTGAGGGATTTCTCTCTGTCACCCTGTCTGTCTTAGGGTCTGCTTTCTTTTCTAAGTGCCCCACTGATTGGTGCTCTCTCTGATGTCTGGGGCAGGAAATCCTTCCTCCTCCTCACTGTCTTCTTCACCTGTGCTCCAATTCCCCTTATGAAGATCAGTCCGTGGTGAGTGTATTCCTGTTGTGACCAAGGGGTTCTGAGGAGAGGAACAAGCACGAGACAGAACAATGGGGGATTTGTGGGTGTAGCATTTGAAGGTGATGGAATTGTTCATCCAGTGGGGAATGATGCTCAGCCTAGAGACTCATTCACTTGCCTGGTTCTACCAGAGGATTCAGTGTTAGGAAGAAGGAGCCTTTCCTGATGCTCATTCTCCTGACAGGCTCGTTGTCACTACTCTTGGGCCACCAGGCTGCAGCTCAGTGTTTCTGGTGCAGTGAAATAGGAGGGCCTGCAGGAGCTGTGCACCGGGGTGAGGTTGCTCCCTAACTCTGTGGCACGGCCTCTTTCAGGTGGTATTTTGCTGTCATTTCCATGTCTGGAGTCTTTGCTGTCACCTTCTCTGTGATTTTTGCCTACGTTGCTGATATCACCCAGGAGCATGAACGCAGCACGGCGTATGGCTTGGTAAGGAGCTGCACAACTGCCTTGTCTCTTGGAAGCGATACTTGGGGCTTTGCAGGTAGGAGAGATATAAAACGAGGGTGGGAGATTGATTGGCAAGCCTGAGGACAGTATCAGTAAGCAGATGATATGTGCTTCACTATAACACAGTCTCCCTATTGCTCTGTGTGTGATTTAGCACTGAGGGAGAGGGCTTAAAATCACAGAATCAGCTTGGTTGGCAAAGACCTTTAAGCTCAAGTCCAACCATTCCCCAGCACTGCCAAGGCCACCACTAACCCGTGGCACTGAGGGCCCCATCTATATGGATTGTGAACACTTGTTTGCTTGTCTCTCTGTGGTGTGAATTCTGGCTGTATTGTTGCTGAGCCTTTAAACCAGCTTGGTCAGGAGCTTCTCCAAGCCAGGCTGGGATTGTGCCCCTTCTATAGGGTTCCTGAATTATTAGGACAGCTTTCATTTCCCTTTGTTAGATTGCACCCAGAGAACATGTCTCCTTTCTGTCTTTTACATGGATTCTCTCCATCAAAGGTGGCAAAACTCCTGCCCTGGGCTTACACAAGAGGGGCAAACAGGCTCTGGGAAGGAGAAGCTGGATTCCTGTTCTCTGCTTCCAGGTGTCAGCCACGTTTGCTGCCAGTCTGGTCACGAGCCCAGCCATCGGGGCGTACCTCTCCCAGGCCTATGGTGACACGTTGGTGGTCGTGCTGGCTTCAGGTGTGGCATTGCTGGATATCGCCTTCATCCTGCTGGCAGTGCCGGAGTCGCTGCCGGAGGAGATGCGCCCGGTCTCCTGGGGAGCTCCAATCTCTTGGGAACAAGCAGACCCCTTCGCTGTAAGTCATCTTGCTGCTGCTTTTCCACGTTAGTCCTTCTCTTTGCTTTAGTTCTGCTGATCTCTCCCAAAAGGAAGAGGCATTCCACAAAAGGGGGAGGATGTGAGGCTCAGATTAACCTTGTTGAAGGTACCGTCTCCAGGTTGCACATCCGTAAAGCTGTCCAGCAGCTTCCAACCCTTTTCCTGGAGCTACAAACCGTGTAAAAGCAGTCCAGATGTCCCGAAGCAAGAGCATCTCTCGGTGGAAACGTACCTCAGTTGTCTGAATATGAGTTCCATTATCCAGCACTAGTACTGTGTCAGAAGTCCTTTGTGTTCTATCTTCTCAGGAGCTTTGCTAAGGATGAGGAGCTTTGCAGTGCACCTTTGCTGGCTGAGGAAAAGGCAGTTCTGATCCAAAGCACTTGGCTAAATCTAGGAAACTCAAAGGTCAAGGTCCTCAGTGTAGGGTGTGAGCTGGTGCCGTTGTACATCAGTCCATCAGGCTGACATGTTGTGGCAGTGTTGGCATCTGCCTCCAGGATGCTGCTCTGGTTTCACTTCTCGGCCGTAAGCTGGTGACCCAAGCACTTGGTTTCGCTGTCTCTGGACCTGGAGAATAGTTCATGATGTTTACTCTCTTTTTCCTTTTAATTGATGTCATTTCCCACTCCTCTTCCCTACAGTCCTTGCGGAAAGTGGGTCAGGATTCTACAGTGCTGCTCATCTGTATCACTGTCTTTCTCTCCTACCTTCCCGAAGCCGGCCAGTATTCCAGCTTTTTCCTCTACCTGCGACAGGTCAGTCTCTTGCCATGATGTGAGGCTCTGAATGCAGGAGATCCCAACATGTGCCCAGGCAGCCAGGAAGCCACCAGCATCCTGGCCTGGATCAGCACCAGTGCGGCAGCAGAGCCAAGGCAGGGATTGTGCCCCTGTGCTGGGCACTGGTGAGGCTGCATCTTGAATCCTGTGCTCAGCTCTGGGCCCTTCACTCCAAGAGAGACATTGAGGTGCTGGAGCAAGGCCAGAGAAGGGCACCAGAGCTGGTGCAGGGCCTGGAGCCCAAGTGTGATGGGGAATGGCTGAGGGACCTGGGGAGTTCAGTCTGGAGAAAGCTCAGGGGGGACCTGATGGCTCCCTACAAGTGCCTGACAGGAGGATGGAGCCAGGAGGGGCTGGGCTCTGCTCCCAAGGAACAAGGGATGGGACAAGAGGAAACGGCCTCAAGCTGCCCCAGGGCAGGTTTAGATGGAGCTGAGGAACAATTCCTGCCCCAGAGGGTGCTCAGGCATTGGAACAGGCTGCCCAGGGCAGGGCTGCAGGCACCGTCCCTGCAAGTGTTCACACAGCGTGGAGACGAGGCCCTCAGTGCCATGCAGGGGAAAATCTTCCAGGTGATCCCTGTGGCAGCAAGAGGGTGGAGGAAGGGATGGTTCATTGATGCTCAGGTACCTGCTAAGCAGCGTCAGCAGACACTGGTGACACTGGTGGGCTGGCTTTTCCCATAGAGCCCAGATCTCTTGCCTAAACAGTCCCTCTGTGATGTTCTCACAGGTCATTGGGTTTTCCTCAGAGACAGTGGCAGCCTTCATTGGGGTTGTTGGAATTCTCTCCATCCTGGCTCAGGTGAGCACCAGTTTCTCTCTTAGCTCATGCAGTCTGGTTATAGGAATGTCCAAAATTGCTGACAAGTGGAAGTCCCTTCGGCTGGGCTGTGCCATGGGATGTGCTGGGCTCTGACATGGTGTTACTGGAGTGGAGGAGTCAGTGTCACAGCAGCACGTGTTCCCTCAGATTCCCATCCTCTTGCCTTCCAGTGCTCGCATCCTTCTTTGCACTTCCTGTTAAAGCACCTGTTTTCCTTTCCAGACAGTGGTGTTGGGAATTCTCATGCGTTCCATAGGAAATAAGAACACCATCCTGTTGGGACTGGGCTTCCAGATCCTCCAGCTTGCCTGGTACGGCTTCGGATCGCAGCCTTGGTAAGAATTGGCTCCTGTTTGTCTCGTGGCTCTGTGGCAGCTCCCTGTGCCCTGCCTGCAGGGTGATGCCGTGCTGCTGCCTCACATCCTGCCTCCTCACCACTGCCTCTGTCCCCCAGGATGATGTGGGCTGCAGGAGCCGTGGCTGCCATGTCCAGCATCACCTTCCCAGCCATCAGCGCCATGGTGTCTCGGAACGCAGACCCTGACCAACAAGGTGAGTTCATCCCAGCAGGAGCCTGCACTGACTGTGGTGGAATTGGTGGAGGGATGGACAGGAGCCTGTATTAGCTGTGGAGTGCCTTGTTCTGAGTTGTGTTGATGCTTTGGGACGGAATGTTCTCTGAGGTAGACAAGGAGCCTGCTGCTTAAGCTTCATGGTTCAGCCCTGAGGCCTCAGGCTTGGCTGCTTTCAATTCCAGTGCTTGATGGGCCCAAGCATGTTTTATTCTCCAGCCAAACACTGGATGAGCAAAGCTCATCACCCGCTCACTGCTTCCTCTGTGGGGTCCGTGTCCATCCAGAGCTGGATGTTTGAGCCTTGTCTTTAGATACGGAAGCATCCTCGAGTAGCACAAGCAGCTGCAGGAAGATCTTCCTCTCCCTGCTCTGTCCCCAGGTGTGGTGCAGGGGATGATCACTGGGATTCGGGGTCTGTGTAATGGCCTGGGGCCGGCGCTCTATGGCTTCGTCTTCTATCTCTTCCACGTGGAGCTGAATGAAATGGCTGAGGTGGAAACTCTGGGTAAGGCCTCCAAACCCAACATGGCCAACCCTACGGATGAGGTAACTGTTCAGCTTTGTCTTTCCTTTTCGGCTGCTTTTCCCTTGCGCTTGAGCATTAACCCTTCCTCTGTTTCTTCCTACAGAGCAGCATCATCCCAGGGCCTCCCTTCCTGTTTGGGGCTTGTTCTGTCCTGCTGTCGCTCCTGGTGGCCTTGTTCATTCCAGAACACAACCTTGCACTGAGATCAGGCAGCCACAAGAAGCACAGTAACGGAGCTCAGTCCCACACCCACAGCCCTCAGGCTGGTGGGTCGGATGGCAAAGAGCCCCTGCTCGAGGACAGCAGCGTATGAGGCAGGGAGAGAAGGACCTGGCTCACATCTGGACCCCAGGCCAAGGATGGACTCAGCCAGGGAGAGAAAGACAGGGTGAGGGGGGAGAGAAGAAGCGAGGTGAGACTGTGCCACTAACAGCTAATGGGAAGGGATGAGGTTTTCCTTTCCAGCCAAATACACCCTCAGCTGGTGCAGAACCAGAGTTGTATCATCTGGTGCTGATAGGAAGGGGAGATACTGAACTGCTCCATGGGAAGGGATAGCTCCTGAAGGCAAAGCATGTACTTGGGCATTGAACTTCAAGGTGTGCCCTGCCAAATCCTCAACTCGCCAAGGAAAACTGAAGGAGCAAGCATTGGCTTTGTTCTGGTGTGAACAGAAGCAGCTGGTATAAACCAAGGCATCAGCTCCATGCCCCATCCCCTGGTGGAACCAGTCCCATCACAGCTCACCTGGGGGCAGCAGCAACCAGGGCCATGCGCCGGGGTGAAGAGCAGATGGTGTGGTCAGGCCTGAGCTGCCCCTCGCTGCTTGGAGCCCATGAATTCACCCTTGCTGGCCCGGGTGAAACTTAGATTCCCCCCCCCCCAAATCTACTGACTTAATGTTCTGATGAAGAGAAGTTGCACAGAGGTGAATGGGAGAGGGAAGGGCAACCCTGTGAGTGCTGGGTGCTGAGGTGGTCCATGATGGTTGTGTTCCTCTTTGGCTTTTTCCTGTTACCCTGTCTTGGTAGGAGGATTCTTCAGAGCTGGTTTCTCAAGCACTCTTAAGGGGTGATCAGAAAATAGCCTCTCTGAGGGCCTGGAGAAGCAACTCAACCCCATGAAGCACTTGCTAAAGCTTTGAGGGAAAGGCCAAAGAAGGAGCTGTTCACGTGGGGTTTTCCCCTCAGGCTCCTGCCATCCGATATTAAACCCAGATACCAACTGCAGCTCTTGTTCTTTCTCAGTCCAGAAGCTCCTGATGGTGATGGTTTGCAGTTGATTTGAACTTAGAGGCTGGGATTCCATGGAGTGTTTGTGAGCTTGCCATGAAGGTGTTTGTTTGGTTGACAAATGGAATTGGAACCTCTGCTTCAGAAGAACAGCAGGTCCTGGAGTTGGAGCAGCCCTGTCTCGGAGCAGGAGCTGTGTGAGAGCTGTTGTCTGGCTGGGATCCCTCCGTGGGGCTGGGACAGGTCTCCCAGGGGAAGAAGGCCAGGAGGGAGGGAGCATTGGCTCCATGTCCTGGCTCTTTGCAGACGGGTGACAATGGCTGTGCTGGGCCTCTGCAGCAGTGGGTTTCATGGAAGACCCAATGGGATGACCATGGAGAACCATGTCCTGCTGGTACAAGCCTGGGAGAGCACTGCCTGTCCCCTGCTCCAGGGTGCATCTGGAATCCCACCTCTCCTGCACACTTGTTGGTGTTGGCGTTGGGTAGATCAAGAGCTGCATTTCCATGTAGATGGAATTGAATCCCTGTCAGATAGGAACAGCTTGGAGCCGCTGCCTGCACTGGGCTGGGCTCACGCTCCACTCCCTGTTTCCTGATTTTCTGGACCAGTTCTTCATCAGAAGTGGACAGTGAAGTGGAGGAATCATCAGCTGCTTTTGCATTAACCCTGCCCCGGCCCTGCAGTTGGAGCCAGGCCCTGGGAGCAGGGGGCAGCAAGAGCAGGGATAGAGAGGGGAGGCAGCAGAAAGCCTCAGTGACCTGCAGTGATTCCGGTTTCCCCAAGCTCCTGGTGGTGATGTCCGTGCTGCGTGCGCACAGCGAGCTGCTTTCCTGAAGGAAATGAGTCCCTGACCCATTCAACTCCACGTTCCCTTCTCGGAGCAGAGCTTCCCTAAGCACATCCGCTGTTGATTCCCACTCTTCTCAAATGAAGTTGGTTTTTCCCCTCACACCCAAATGAAGTTGAACCAAGGAACCGTTACCTCCTCTTGCACTCCGAGGCACCGGGAGCTCCAGGGGTAGGATGGAACCATAGGATATAATGGAAAATTATGGCAAGAACATAATTTATATGATCTAAAGTATAGAGAGATATATTTTTAAAAGTCCTTTCTTATGTAGTTTATTGAAACAAATCCTGTTCCCTCCCAGCACCGCTGCTGCCTCCGGCCTCTCCTCCCCTCCAGCCAACAGGACCAGCCAGGTGAGCTTCCCTGCTCCATCCCCATCCATCCCACTGCCACATCCGACTTCCCAGCGATGCCAACATCCCCCAGCTCCTGCACAGTGGATCTGGGGAGCTTTGGTCACTTCATCACCCCGAGCTCAGGGCCTGGAGATGCCGCAGGTCGCTGATGCAGTGGGGGCTGCATGGAAGGTCCCACCGTGGTGGAGCAGGTACATAAGGGCGCTGTCAGCACCATCAGGGTGGTTTGGACCTTGGCTCTGATGGCACAGGGGACATGAGAGGGCCCCAAGCCCGGTGCCTGCAGAGCCAGGGCTCCCTGTGGCCCTTGTTCTTGGCGCTGGGAGCAGGCAGGGATCCCTTCCCATGGATTTGGAGTTCCTTTCCCCTGGTTCCACACGGACCCAGCCACTGTTCTGCCTTCAAGGGACACGGGAGGCCTCGGGCCAAGAGGTGATGGAGCTGAGATTCCGGGACCTGAATGACGAATGTCTCATTCCGAAGGGCCGGGAATTCTGCAGCGTCCCACTGGAAAGCTGGGAAGATCCAGGGAGCATTCAGCTAGTTTTGCCAAGTTTTTTGTTACTTTCTATGGAAAAAAAAAAACAAACCCAAACCCAACTTTTTTAAAAGAGCCTTTTCTTCCCCCCCCCCCCCCTCCTTTCCATGTGCTGGGAAGTGCCTGAGCCTGCCTGCTCCACAGCAGCATTCCCAGCAGCTGTCTGCAGCGACTTCACGTTGAGGTCGGGGCCAACACCACCCCGAAAGTAAGGCAAGGATTGGCTTCATTTGCCCTTCAGTGAGTCCAAACTGATCTTAGTGCACTAACCCCCCCCTTTAAACCTTTGCTTTCTCTTTTACCATTGATATAGCAAACCAGTCCCTTCTCCCTTCCCCAGTTTGGGTTCTTTTCTCTGTACTGGAATGGCTGCTGCCACCTTTAGCACCTTGAAAGAGCATTGGGCATGGGGGGAGCCCATGCTCCGAGCTGCCCCTTGCGAGCGTTTCTGGGTCTCTCTTGTGAAGCTAACAGGGAGCTGTGTTTCTTTCCGTTCAGGTTGGGTTTAGAGCTGGCTAATCTCTCCCTCCTCCAGTGGATTATTTATTAAACTGCTGCTTTCCTGTTGTGTTGAAGCTCTTCTGTCCTCGTCCTTCTCCCTCGGGTCCCAAGATGCCTTCAGAGTTGGTGCTTCAGGCCTCCTCCATCTGCCTCTTATGGGTACAGAGTGAGTTCTTTCCACCTATTCCTTCAAACAGAGCTAAAAGGACCTTGGAACCAATTCACATTCCCCCTTGATCCTACCATAGCTTTCCAGGCTTCCACTGGAGCATTACAAGAGCCCAAGGCAGGTCCCTGGCTCCCACCTCCCCGGGGCTGGATTTGTGCCTCTTCATTTCAAGTCAGGCTTCATTTAGATCTTATCTTAGCCACTTAAACACTTCTTGTGGTGGTTGAGGGTGGTACTGAGTGAGCAATACAATCACAAGTGTCAACACATCCACATCTACTCTTGGATGGGAGCTGTGTCTGACAGCCCATATCCTGTAAGGAGCTGGAAACACAAACGCCATCCCACAAGATAGAGCCTTTTGTCTTGATTTCCTCCGGATTTGAGCTCAATATTGTATTTATTTCATCTTGATTTGAGAAAGATTCCTCAGTTTATCCCACTTCACATCACTGGAGGGAAAAGAGAAGGGATTGCAGCAGCAGATGGGGATACTGCAGGTGAGAGGCAGAGCCTGGCTTTGGGACCAGCCTTCCCAGGGGAAGATTCCCGAGTTTTGCACCATGTGGAAAAACTTCACCTCCTTCCACATGGCTCCAGCCCTGTCATTTCTGGTGTGGGGGCATTAGCAGTGCTGGTGATGACAGCCCAGGGCTCCACCCCAGCCTGAGGGGCTTGGCTGGGGCATCCTGTGCTTGTCCCATCTCTCCCTGTTAAGCTGTTCTCCTTCCTGAGGAGCGCCTCTGGAGCGAGCTCTGCCCCGCTCCTGCCCTCAGGAGGAAGCACCATTGGCTTCCAGGAAAAACCTTCCCCTTTCTGCTTCTTGAAAGCCAGCGTCCCCTTTGCTCTGACCTCAAAGGTTTCCTGTTGGGTGGAAAAGCATCCCGGTGCCTGAGGATGCTCTTTCCACCCTGGCGCTGCAGCCTGATGGTCCCTCTGTGCTGGGATCAGCTCCAGGCACACACATCCTCAAGTGCTCTGCAAGCCCCGAGCCACAGGAAGGGCATCACGAGGTGCTGGGCTCTCGGGTGGTTATTGATGTCCTGGGGACTGGTCCAGGAAAGCTTCAAGGCTGCTCCGACTGGGATGTTGCAGGGCCATAGCGAGCGGTACCCAGAGGCTTGGGGTGCTCCTGCAGCAGCGAGCGTGGTCCTTGAGGGTGGTGGTTCCCCTCTTTAAGCTTTTCCTTTGGGAAGGAACTCAGTGCTTGGTGCTTGTCCCATCGCCCACCGGTGGCAACGGGAGCAGAGGAGGAGGTGACACGGGGACAGGAGCAGCCTTGGGAACGCTGCGAAGTGGCTCTGGTAACACAGGGTGGCAGGACCAAACCCCCGCCCCCAGAGCCATCAATCACCGGCTTCAGCTGAGCGTGCAGATCCGATGGCAGCTGCTTACAGAGCACTTCCCTTGCTCCCAGGCTTCCCAAAAGGATGTACGACGCACCCAGTGCCCGGATCTGCCTCTCCAGAGTTCCCGCATGGGAAAGGGACGGGTCCTGTGCCCAATTCCCACCTTCTGCAACAGGAGGCACAGGGCTGGGAATGTCAATGTCCTCTCCTTCAGCACCTTCCCGGCAGGATGGGATGGGGCAGAACCAGGTCTATCTTCTCATTTGCTGGGTAGGAGCGAGGAGAGGATGAGACAGGGCCTTGGGGCTGCATAACATGGGGGTGATCAACGTCATCATGTGGGGGCATGTTCTCCATCTATCCCATAAAACCACCCTGCAAACACCCTGGCCTGGCAGCACACGCTGTTTGCAGCCCCCGAGCCTGGGGCTGGTCACCTCCTTTCCAAACCCCACATCTTGGGGCTCATTGGGTTTATCCCTCAGGCTGTCCCA